GGAATGTAAACAACCTGATTTGTCATACTTTATTACTGACACGTCTGGTGATAAACATGAGTGAAAAGCAGGGGGTTCCGAGTTTGTTCAGCAAAGTGTTAGTTTAAACATATTTAAAGGGATGCCATCTCTTCGTTTGGCGGGAAAAGTCCAATAAAAAGGATTTTCCAGGGGTAAACGACAATTTTCCCATATTTCGAATGGTTAATGATTCCGCACCGACAATCAATGTAAATCTATGATTTTATTCATTTATTTTATTTATTTATTTATTTATTTATTTATTTATTTATTTTTATTTATTTCTTTTTTTTTTTTTTTTTTTTTTGGGGGGGGGGGGGGTAATAATCTCTTAAGATATTACTATGGAGGGTAGCCATTTGTGAAAGCCCACATGGTCCGATGGCAAGTACAGATTTCAGAATAATTGAGATAGCCGCCGTTTTGGTGGTACAATGGTATTTTTTCATATTTTGATGTGTTGTTTACAATGGATTTATTGTGAAATGTTGCATATCATGAAGAGCTGTTATCTCTAACAATCTATCAATAACCATAACGAGCAATAAAAAAAAGAAAAACGAAAGGAATAAAAAACAGAAAAATGGTGATGGTTTGAGAATAATTTAAATATTAATCTTGCCAAATACATGGTCATGCCAAAACCCGGTTGAACACTGTAAACTTGACATAACGAATAAAAAGTTAGAATCATAGTTTTGATAAAGATATGCTCTGATCCAGGAAATTTTGAAATAGAGAGCAAAATGGTAATATTGATAATAGATAAACACATAATTATATGATTTAAGATGACATAGAAAAACGTGATATACACGTATAATGTCATTTCAATCAATAATGTATGGTGCAGAGATGCTTTCACACGGTATGTGTCTCTTTTAGCTTGGTCTACTGGTTTGTTAGGGAGAAAGGGGGACACTTCGAAGGTTAAGATCTGTTACCCTCCCCTCCCCTCTCCCCCTCTCTCGAACCACCATTTAATAAGGACTTGTTTTACAGGTCCAGAGATTTATGATATGCGTGCATCTGATGATCCGTGCCCAACGCTCTTTTCTTCACCCCAAATAACGGCGATTTGATGTGCCGTGTGGTCATTACAGTAAACTGTTATTCCAAATAAGACTAAAAAAAACAGATGCAGTGTGAAGGTTAACAATCTTTGAAGCACCTGGGCTTTGGTCCACGTGACAGAGTTATCAACGTGCTATATATTCCACACGGCTTGATGTCCGGTGTAACGTGACAGAGAGTCCTCCATAACAGAGAGTCCGCTTCCCATTTATTTGCACAGGTGAGCCTCGCCCTAGATTTTGACCCACATAGGCCAGGCTAACCCTAACCATTATGACTATATGGAGGGCGGACTTTCTGTTACACGGACCCTCAGTTTCATTACACAGGTCATTGGTGTCTTCTAGAGACTGTCTAGACCAGCTGAGTCATGACAGTAATTAAGGAGAGTCTCTGGGCGCTTTTGAGCCTTACACCCCATTCTCATAGATTAGATCGACCTACATTGGATCGACCTAACTCCCTTGGGGTTCACGCTAAATAGCTGTCAGCCGGGCGGACACGAAAGTTAATTACCCCTTATAGCTTGTAGTAGGCGGGGACGGACACTTAAGGCGGATTATCTGACAGTAATCTAGTGAGACTCCCCGCGGTGATAGATCGATCTAAAAGTTGTGAGAACAGAGCCTTAAAAACGCTTCAAACATTACGTGCTTGATAGAGCTGAAAACTTAGACACACAGCTTCGTTTTTTGTTTCTTTTCATTTCAATTTGTCGATAATAATAATAATAATAATAATAAAAGAAGACCCCACCCCTGTGAAGTTTGCTTTATATGGCAATCAGAGACAATTTTTAAAATGGCTACCATGAAGATTCCAAAGTTAAAAAATACACCCATTGTTTTAAAATAAAAATTAATTTATTCAATCAACCTCCGTTAATAATTGATAATGGAGAACATAGGACCAGGAAGGTGTGCCACGTGACCACCAAAAAGTTTTAAGTTCTTTGCTTCTTAGGCCCCATTCAGAATGGACGATCTGAGTACTTAATAATAATNACACCCATTGTTTTAAAATAAAAATTAATTTATTCAATCAACCTCCGTTAATAATTGATAATGGAGAACATAGGACCAGGAAGGTGTGCCACGTGACCACCAAAAAGTTTTAAGTTCTTTGCTTCTTAGGCCCCATTCAGAATGGACGATCTGAGTACTTAATAATAATATGTATTTATTTGCAACTTAAAAAGTTGGATTTTACAATAAAAACATATAGTCGTGAGATGCACAATCTAAAAATATACTTGTAAGTGTTAAAATGATTCGATACACATTAAAAATTCATAAAAAAACTCAGTTCTTAAAATTTGATAAAGCCCATGGGATAAAAGTTTTTGACGATCAATTTTGGCACAGTGTACTTATAAACCCAGCGCAAAGTGTAGGAACTTTCATTTATCTCTGGTAGCAAATGATGGATTTTGTGTCCTTCAGAGTACATGTTATGCAATAATGTTTTACTTTTACTTACTGATCCGCCCACTTAATATGGCCGACCACAGTTAAGCACTGCTGCTGATTCCCGATGGTCTCCCCGCCTCCACACGCGCCTTTAAACAGATTAAATCTCGGCTACTAGTTATAGGTGTAAATGCTAGGCCCCTGCAGCGGGTTTCATTTATTTCTATTTTATATCGCGTGCGGACCGAGATTTTTAATATTCTTCTGTTACGTATGAGTGGCCATTTTATTAAATACTTGCCCGATGTGGAACGTTTTGCTTCGTTTTTTTTTTTTTTTTTTGCATAATGGTA